CAATCAATCTATCAATCTATCTATCTAGCTATATATCTATCTATCTATCAATCTCTCAATCTATCTATCTATCTATCTATCTATCTATCTACCTACAGTATCTATCACCGGAGACTCCGGAGACCAAGGGACGCCAGGGCGTACATCCGACCCCTTGCAGCACACCAAGTGCCGCACCTGCCACGCAAAAGCCACCGGCAGAGCGGCGGAGACCAAGGGCGCCAGGGCGTACATCCGACCCCTTGTAGTCAGAGCACCAAGTACCGCGCCTGCCACGCAAAAGCCACCGGCAGAGCAGCGGAGACCAAGGGACGCCAGGGCGTACATCCGACCCCTTGCAGAGCACCAAGTGCCGCACCTGCCACGCAAAAGCCACCGGAGACCAAGGGACGCCAGGGCGTACATCCGACCCCTTGAGAGCACCAAGTGCCGCACCTGCCACGCAAAAGCCACCGCAGAGCGGCGGAGACCAAGGGACGCCAGGGCGTACATCCGACCATTGCAGAGCACCAAGTGCCGCGCCTGCCACGCAAAAGCCACCGGAGACCAAGGGACGCCAGGGCGTACATCCGACCCCTTGCAGAGCACCAAGTGCCGCGCCTGCCACGCAAAAGCCACCAGCAGAGCGGCGGAGACCAAGGGACGCCAGGGCGTACATCCGACCCCTTGCAGAGCACCAAGTGCCGCACCTGCCACGCAAAAGCCACTGGCAGAGCGGCGGAGACCAAAGGACGCCAGGACGTACATCCGATCGCTTGCAAAGCACCAAATGCTGCGCTTGCCACGCAATAGCCACCAGCAGAGCGGCGGAGACCAAAGGACGCCAGGGCGTACATCCGACCCCTTGCAAGCACCAAATCCCAATAGTGCCCACTCATTCACCCTGTATTGTCGCGCATTGTACTATGATTGCAAAGATTGCAATGCGTGATTTGATATGGAGTGATGTGCCGTTGCGTGCTGTATGCATGCTTGTGAGTCTGAATGCGTTGAACAACTTTATATGTATATTGTATCCATGTTTATCATGTGCGTATGCACGATATTCCTGGACAGAATGCCAGGAAATGCAACCATTGATCAGAGACTTACTTGGCTTAGGATGTCTGGACATGGATGCAGACCCAGTTGTGTTTTGTTTGTTTGTTTGGTTGGTTGTTTGTTTGTTTGCTTGCTTGCTTGCTTGTTTGTTTGTTTGTCTGGTTTGGTTGCATAGACCTAGGTTTGTTCATTTTTTTCGGTACTATCCCAAATCTACCATACGAAATTAATGCAAACTATACATATTATATGCAGTACACATTATGTATTAAAATTTATGTCACCCCCTTTGAACCCAACCATGTACGACTACTTGCAAAACAAAGCAACATAGGGAAAAAACATACTTGGAAATCTTCAAAACCTGTGGAAAGGTCAGCAAAATCCTTAGACGCATAGTTTTTTTTTTCAGGGGGGGTACTATATATTTATATATATGAGTTATAATGTAATGTAACCGTGTATATATATATATATATACAGTATACATATATTATACCACATATATATATAATCATATACATATATTATCTATACATCACCTAAATAGAACATAATCCATACCTGGGAGTCATATCACTGATCCGATGCCTGGGTCCCTGGGTTCCTTTCGGATGTCCGTTTGTCATCTCAGCCACAACCTGCGGGATGTCCATATTTCATGATTTATCATCACACGAATCATATCTATGAGATGGTATAGAGATATATAGAATATATAGAATATATAGAATATATAGAATATATAGAATATATAGAATATATAGAATATATAGAATATATAGATTAGAATATATAGAATATATAATATATAGAATATATATAATATGTATAGAATATATAGAATATATATATATATATATATGAATATATGATGAACTGACCTCAGGATCTCCTCCCATTTCGTACGGTAACAGTTTTTTCTCTTGGCGTCCGGACGCCGTCCAGGGTCTCGGCCGTGTGAAGACAACCCTTCTCCACCAAGCACCTGGGAGGATTTTCATGGTGGATTTTCGTGGGGATTAATGATATAATTATATAATACTGTATCTGATGCTTAATAGTGGTTCATAGTGGTTAATAGTGGTTAATCATTGGTTAATAATCATTGGTTAATTATGACTGGTTGGTGGTTGAGCCACCTACCCCTCTGAAAAATGATGGAGTTCGTCAAATGGGAGTATGACATTCCCAATATATGAAAAAATAAAATTCATGTTCCAAACCACCAACCAGATGATGATTAATGGGGATTAATGAGGACTAATAGCGGGTTAATGGGGATTAATATGGATTAATAGTCATTAATGAGGATTCATAGTGGATTTTTAGTGGGATTGATAGAGGGATCAATATGGATTCGAATGAATTAGTGGGACTAATAATGATGATTCTATAGTGGGACACTTTAGTAATGATAATGATGTTTAATAATGACTCATAATGATAATTCTATATTCTCACTTGTTAGCGGGGTCTCCATGCAGTTCAAACTGATCTCCATTGGTACAATGATTGAATCTAACTAGTTTCCATGCAAAAAGGTGTGAACCAACTTCACACATCATCCCATCCAATTTTGGAGCATTCATCTTCCATCCAATTTTGGCTCGCTCTCTGATAATCAACCCTGGTTGAAAAGAGGTCACCTTAATATGATAAATGGAGGTAAAAATCGCTGGGAGAAGAATGAGGTGTTTCACGGGGATAAACAGTGGAACATCAACTGGTTTTTCATACATCCCTGGTCATAGATTCATAGATGCAGAAAAGTTGTTGAGAAACCTGGAAATGATGAGATAAATATCATGGTAAATTTGGTGAATATCATCGAACTAGCATGCTGGAAACACTGTTCGGCATCGGGGACTGCGTGTGAAGCTAGCTGTGAACGCCCAAGTACTGACACCTTTGAATGGCAGTAATTTAAGGAAGTAAATATGGAGGTAAATTGCGATAAATTATGGATAACCAGCGCCATGAGTCCAGCCATAGTTGACTGGTTAATATCTCCAGTCATGAGTTTGAAGCAACCGAACTTGTGGGAACTTGTGGTCCGGTAACTTCCGATAAATGGTTCATCACAGAAACACAAAAAGACACACCACGAACTTATCGATATTTCATCAACAACACTCCAGAGTTAGACTGCCAAACATTGGGTCTGATCACCAGAAACATGTGTTATCTGTCCAAACAAAAACGGGATGTTCAACCAACAAAAATATGCTCATGTTGACCATCGTTGTCGGCCACAATGAATGATTGTCATATGGAAGTTTCACGAGAGGATGATTCCTCAAGGCAAGATACGTGGCAAGTTTCATCCCGATTTCTCTAGAATATACCTCCAGGGATCCCGGCAGACATTGACATGAGCATCTTCTGTGCACTCAGAACGCTTATGGCATGCTATGTTCCCAGTTTATTGGCGAATATCAGAATATTTGATGGATGGTTTCAACCCGGATCACTAGGCATGGCGGGATCCAAATACCGAATCTTCGCACCAAGTCAACCAAAAAAAACTCAACCAATGTTTTAACATCCACCCATCCTTCACCCATCCACCACAATCATCCAACTCATCCAACGAGGCACTGCTTGGAGGGAGTCATGATCATGTAGTGATCTCAGCGATGCGAGATGAGCTAGTCCCCAGTCGTCACCCAACATTTTCATTGGGATAAACAAACACAAAAGAAGTGGTTTAATGAGTTTAATGATGTTAAATATATGTGGTTTATGATTGTTTTACCCAACACAGATTCACTAACTGCAATAGCAAAGATCATAGATAGTAGACAGCAAAGACTAGTAGATCTTAAATGATAACGAAAAGTCGGCAGCCTCTAACTGGACCGGGTTCTGCCTATTGACTGGTTCCTTTTTGAACTGTCTGCGGCCCGGATCCTCCAAAAAGGCTTCCGGCAGCCTCTAACTGGACCGGGTTCTCCTAGTCACGCCTCTGGGCTCCTTTTTGGACCGTCTGCGGCCCGGATCCTCCAAAAAGGCTTTAGAGACATTGCATGGAAATATCACAAAACGCATTGGTACGAAGCCGTCATCTCTACAGTCAACTTTCCATTTTTGAAGGAAGTCTCGCAGACTTGCTTCGATTTTGGTGTTGTCCACGTAAAAAAATGAGACAGTCTCGCAGAATTGCTTCGTTTTTGATGTTGCTAACTTCAAAAATAAAGAAAGTCTCGCAGAATTGGTTCGTTTTTGATGGTGCCAACTTCAAAAATGCAGGAAGTCTAGCAGAATTGCTTAGTTTTTGATGTTGCCAACTTCAAACATTGAGGATGTCTCGCAGAATTGCTTCGTTGCGGCGGACATTCCACTACACTACAACTTCACCACACTGCACTACAACTACACTTCACTACACTGCACTGCACTACACTACAACTTCAACTACACATCGTGGATCTTGGTTACAATACAGTATTCCTACTGAGAAGATATCAAAAGGATGGGTGGAGATAGATAGATCGAAAGAGAGATAGCTAGATAGACAGATGGTCGGAAGGATGAATGGATGGATGGATAGAAAGATAAAGAATTTAATAGATAGGTTCATGAACAGACTGATCGATAGATAGATGGATAGACAGGTAGATAGCTAGAAAGGTAGCTCTGTAGATAGATGGCGAAAGAGAGACACAGAGAGAGAGAGAGAGAAAGAGAGACAGAAAGTCAAAAAGACTCAGCCACCATTCAATCCATCAGTGGGTTCTCTCTGCCATTTTTGCGTCACACCAACTCACCTCTCCTATAAGTTTTCTATTTTTGAAACTTCCGCCACCGCCCTCTGTGCGGTACTACTGGTATGCTAAATTTGAACATATTATATTCATAAACGAATAGAAACATAGCTATATATATATATATGTGTGTGTGCCTTGGAATGATGGATGCGAAAGGGCGAGCCCAGTCTGAAATTCTGCAGCGCTCTTTTACTCCAACCGCCTGCGCACACGGCGCAAGTCATCTACTTCGGCTGGGGCCTCCTCAGCCGCCGAATCCTCTCCATCAATCACCTCGTCAGCAGCAGGCAGCGGCACAGGCGTCCATCTACGATGCCCTTCCCATTCTTGGATTGCATAGGAGTGAACGCATCGACCCCTCCATCTGTACCTCCAACAGGTACAGGTGAAGGTGGTACTGTTGATCACACACCAGGTGCCAGTAAACAACTCGGTAACCTTCTTCGGAAAGATTTTGTTCTCATCACCAATGATGCCTTCCGTCACGAGCATTCTCCTGCATTCTGCGGCATGCTTTACCTTCATGTGCTTGACCAATTTCTCAGCCGTGCCGGCCGGAACTGCCCGAGGTTTACCACAGGCCATTGCAATCCAGTGGTTATACACATCGAAACATACTTTCGCTCTTCCCTGCGTGGCTCTCATTTTCTTCAGGATGGTGCCCACAGTCACGAAATGTGTTTTGGCCTTTGTGTAAGGGCGTCTTTCCTGTCGACCGAATTCACCCAACAGCCAACCGTCAGGAAAGCTTGGCTGTCCCAATGTCATAGAAGGAGCCATGAGAGTAACAGGACGGTCCGTCCGAAGTTCACTCTCCTTGAGACCACGTTTCCAGGTTTTGACAACCTTGACCAGTCTTGCGACGACGGATTCGTGCGTCGTCAGAGGGACGGTGGTCCTAATCAAATCGTTCTTCAGTTTTCTGTTGGCCAGCTCTGCAGTCTGCTGCGTCGACCCAAATCCCGGCTCATGCGTCCCAACCTTGGATGGCAGGACAAGATGTCGAGGACATTCAAAGTTTCACATGTCAACTTCTGCCACGAAGCACCAAGCAGATGAGAAAAGGACATGAGAAAGGCAGGCAGGAGAAAGGAGATGATGAAAACCGCGCGAAAGAGCCGTCTGTGAGAGCCCCTTGTGACAGAGTCGTGTGTGGTAGGGCTGTGTGTGAAAGAGTTGTATGTAAGAAACTTGGCACCCTAAACCCCTACACAGACATTCAACACCAAAAATGCAAGTTAAAAAGGTCCTTGGTTTCATCAAACATTCTTTTGCGCTTTCTTTCTGTCATCTTACTCAGATCTGTTTTGGTTTCACTAGTTTGAACGAGAAACCACTCCGCAGTGCCAGTCAGCCATCCAGTACTCTTCCAGTCCGCACTGCTCTCGTTGCTCCTGCGGCACTCGTGCCTTTCGGCAGTAGATCTTGCAGAAGGTCTCGATGAAGTCTGGCTCCAGCCAGGTCTCACGGATACGAGCCACCAAGGCTTCGAACAGCACATGGAACTGGACTGGCGTCCAACACCACATGAGACTCACAAGGATACCGATGAAGGCAGTGACAGGCCGGTTTTGCAGCCGGGGCTCGCCAGCGCCTTTCTTCTTCTTCCTCATATTCCGGATGAGGTGCTCCATGCCACCGATCCTGCCGTGCTCATATCCCGCCCCGGGGAACAGCTCAGCCCAGGATCGAACCCCTGATTTCGAGGTTAAAGGCCTTACGCTCTGCCGACTAAGCGAAATAACCTTTGAATCATGTGCGGTGCCTGTTCAGATAGAGACTCAAATGTCTTTGCCCACCACGGAACACTAGCCGAAAAGGAAAGCAAGAAAAAGAATACAAGAAGCAGAGCAAGCAGATTTCGTTTGAAGCTGAAAAATGGAGCGAGCCAGTGTATCGGATGCCCTAACATAGAGCTGGCGGCTGTGCCCACTGGAGCGGCAACTCTACTGTACTTGGAGCGAATAAATGGAGCCAGCGTCTTACTTTGAACCTAGAAAATAAGCCCGCGGCTCGATACACTAAGCGCAGATCCCGTTGGAAACCCGCAGAGCCCATTTTGCAGGATCCAAGCCGTTACAGCTTGAAAGAGGTGCCCAGAGACTGAAGCGGTCCAGTTCGAGGCTGCCGGAAGCCTTTTTGAAGGATACGGGCCGCAGACGGTCCAAAAAGCCCGGAGGCGTGAGTAGGAGGCTGCCCGAAGCCTTTTTGAAGGATACGGGCCGCAGACGGTCCAAAAAGGAGCCCGGAGGCGTGACTAGGAGAGCCCGGTCCAGTTAGAGGCTGCCGGAAGCCTTTTTGGAGGATCCGGGCCGCAGACAATTCAAAAAGGAGCCAGTCAATAGGCAGAACCCGATCCAGTTCGAGGCTGCCGGAAGCCTTTTTGAAGGATACGGCCCGCAGACGGTCCAAAAAGGAGCCCGGAAGCCTTTTTGAAGGATACGGGCCGCAGACAATTCAAAAAGGAGCCAGTCAATAGGCAGAACCCGATCCAGTTCGAGGCTGCCGGAAGCCTTTTTGAAGGATACGGCCCGCAGACGGTCCAAAAAGGAGATCGTCGGCCTTTTTGTTTTTTTAGTCGTGCGCCTGGAAACCTAGCAATTAGTCGTGGGATGTTTGACTCAGTCGTGGGATGTTGAATTTAGTCGTGGGATGCCCTCTGTCTCACCATTTTTAATAGGTAAATCATGGTAAATCATCTAAAAATTGTCAAATTGTCCATAAATGACCTATGAAATCCTATAAATGACCTATCAATGACCTATAAATATCTATAAATGGGTAAATCATCATACATCACGTATAGATGGTCAATTTCCATAGAGAAGGGGGGAGGTGTTGAATATGACATTGTCATGAGATGATTTTCTCTGAAAATTTCCAAAAACTCGACCCGAATCACACACTCCAGCCAAGTGATACAACACAAAGACGCAGCATGGAACCATAATTTTATATGGCTTGTATAATATGGCTTAATAATAGGAATAATAATAAAAAAATAGATTTTCATGGAATTCTTATGGGATATTAATGGTGTATCAGGGAATATACTCTCCATGCGACAAGCTGGAAAATCCCATTCGGAATGGAGAGTTCAATGGGAACATCAACTATTTCTATCACCATTTTCAATTGCTATTTTGACATAACCAGAGGGTAAACCCCCATTTTCCTATGGTTTTCCTATGGTTTTCCTATGATTTTCCATTGCCATGTTTGCTTACCAGGTCGGGTACCAAATATGACTGTGAAAGTTGAACCGTGCCCTGGGTCCCGTCGACATGAATTTCAGTGTCCAGAACGTCTCAGTCTTGTTAAATCAAAAAACCATGAGTCCATAATAGTCCATACCCTCTGGTAAACTAACATAGCTATGGAAAATGGATCATTTACAGATGATTTTCCCATTAAAACCTCCATTTATGGTTGGGATTTTCCATGGCTATGTTAAATAACCAGAGGGTAATAGTCCATAATAGTCCATGTTAGTCCAGAATAGTCCATAATAGTCTAGACCATTTTTGTATAGTCCATAATAGTCCATAATAGTCCAGCGTCTCAGTCTTGATAGATCAAAAACCATGAGTCCATAATAGTCCATAATAGTTCAAACCACCATTTCTGTTTAACAAAACCCAGCATTTCTGTGTCACAAAACCTCCAGCTTTCACCAACGGGAAGCCGCACTTTCATCCCCGCGGTAGTAGACGATGTTCTGCAGCTCGGCACCCACCTTTTTTTTAAAAGGGCCACTAGCCGCGACCACTGATTGATCCAAATGACTTATTATAATAGATATAGTGGTATTATATTATCATTACTATAATGGCAATATACATCATAGATAATACATATTGCGTATAAATGTATAGTACTTATTTCATAGAATGTATAGATGGTGGTATATATAGTTACTGTAATGTTACTATATATATATATAGATAGCGTCCAGTAAATTAACAGTTCGACCCTGGCAGTCATCGGGTTTTGGAGGATCAATCCCACAACGAGACCGATGAAATTAGATCCATACCCTCTGGTTATGACTAAGCCATAGGAAAATGGAGGTTTATAGCTGGAAAAACCATAGGAAAGCCATAGGAAAATGGAGGTTTATAGCTGGAAAAACCATAGGAAAACCATAGGAAAATGGAGGTTATACCATCTGGTTATGACTAACAGTTTGCCATGGAAAATCACCATGCTATTAATAGGTAAACCATCTATAAATGGTGATTTTCCATGGCTATGTTAAATAACCACATGGTAAATAAACAATAAGTTCTGAAATAAATAACCTCTGAAACTGGTGAAATTTTAAAAAAAATAGTGGTTTAACATGGTTTAACTGGATCTGGGATAGTTTGAATACACTTACAAGATTATCCATAGTCTATAGTTAATTTTGGTTCTGATTTTGTGAAACTGTCCAACACAGTCAAGATTATAGGAAAATTCAATACTATCCCTTTGCTGTCAAATTACCAACTACATATGCTAAGTTTAACTTAGAACCGAAATTTGATCGGAAAATGTAAGAAGGTTGTCCGCACTTGATCATGATATCATGCCTCATTCTGTGTTTCCATGAAAAAATTAGGGGCTGTACCCATAGACCCATTCCGAAATCAGAATGATAGCTGGTTACTCGACTCAGTGCTCATCGTAGATCATGGTTGGCTCTTCCAACTATAGATGGCCAAAGGGCCGCGGATCTTTAATTCCAAGATTTTAATGATATGATTCCAGTTCAAACTGGCAACACAATTGCCAATACAAAGCCAATACTTTGCCACTCTTGGATGTAAATTCCCGGAATGGTAAATGGTAAAAAAATCGTTTGCCCTCTGGTAAACATACAAAAAACGATGGAAAATCACAATTGTTAATGGGTAAATCAACTAGAAATGACCATTTTCACTAACTTTTTGTATGTTTACCAGGCCGGGTATACTTCGCAAACATCTCGGGGGGATGGCTCAGGGAATCCTGGAGCTTTCAGTACCTAGACTTAGACCCTCCAAATGGATGTGGGTCAAAATGGAAGACCGATGTGGGACCACAGATGTTAGTCTAGTTTAATAACCATCCATAATCTTGGGGTACCTAATTTTGACCACCCAAATGTACTCAACATATTCAGTGAATTGCAGAGAAATATCATGAAATATCCATTTTTTATAGGTCCTTGGAGGAGTCGAGGAACAAATTCCTGTGTCGATTTTCAGATCTTCAGTCGACATTTCTCCGAAATCCACTGTGGTTCAGTCCAAGGCGCATCACAATCACAACACGGTGCCCTGAATTTCCCAATGTTGAATATCAATGATGGTACAGATTATATGCAGTATCCCCATATATATAATATGATATATAATATTATATATATATAATCCCAAGAAGTATCCAACTGTTCACGATTTCTGTTGGTTACCCCAAATAGTTGTGGGATGTTGTGGACTATAGCGCATCTACTCATCATGAAGAAAATCTCCCTGCCCTGCACCCACTGGCCTTATCCTTCAAAGTTTTGAAGAGAGGACCATTGAATTGCCTGCCAGCAACCCTTTGAATTGCGACCCACTCTGATGGCTGGAAAAAAAAACACAGTTCAAAAAGAAAACAAAATTCAACCTGGCTCTAGTTCTGCAACTTCCCTGAAAATCAACCGAATAAACATCAGCAGAACCTCTGGTTTCATAGTGGATTTGTGCACTCCATTCCGTGGAACTCAACTATCCCAAGGATTCTAAATCTGGTCACAGCTCTAGTTTGTCTGGTGGTATACCTACCCATCCGAAAAATATGAAAATCGGTTAGGATTATTATTATTCCCAAGATATGGAAAAATAAGAAATGTTCCAAACCACCAATCAGTTGTTTTGGTTCCGTAATATGTAGCTAGACCCTCTAAGTACCAGTCAAAAAAATGGCAAAAGTGCTACGCATATAAGGTACAATAAGCAATTTTGATGGGGACGGAGGGTCTAGATAATCCTTCTGGGCTGGTAAACATCCCTTCTGGTACGCTTGTCTTCTTAGGAGTCTTAATTGGATATGTTCATGGCGTATTAATGGAATATATATTTTGACATATGTTGGGTGATACAGTGATACAACTTGACCATATCAATGAATATTAATTTGGTTGCTGGCTTTAACCATCTTGAAAAATATGAGTTCGTCAATGGGAAGGATGACATCCCATATATATATAATGGAAAATAAAAAAAAACACCAACCAGATATTAATGGTATCTTCATGACATTTGGCTTTGTCTGATGGAGGATACCATTCGGATACCATTCGGAAAAATAGCGGTCATGTTTGACCATGACACCGAAGGGACGGCCCGGCCCAGATGAACGAAAGTAACCAGATTTTTGACCGTCAAATCATAGATATATTCAAGGGATTGGTTTTGTTGGGAAAATCTTAACCGGAAACCATAGATTTTCCCATTATTCATATGGGGCTTAAACCTGTAAATTTTCCCTTAAACCAATCCATAGATATATCAAACTCATGGGTATATCAACTATATCAAACTGATAAACCATGATAAACCAGAAAATATCACCAGCATCAAACTAAAATGCTCGAAATCTTCACCCTGACCCCATGATTTCA